TCTCATGGCACTTGAAGTCAATTCTGAAACCGTGGGCCGCGGCAGCGGCCTGGCTCTGCAGGCTGAGAGCCATCGCGTACGGGTTGCCCATCTCCACCGCGCCGACTGGGTTCAGCGCCCCCGCCGCACCCGCTGCCGCAGCTGCCGCAGCTGCCGGCTGCAGCGGCGCATTCATCACTGCGCCATCGCGGGGGGGGGCGGGAGCGGGAACGGGGGTGTGAAGAAGACGCCATGATCTTGGCTCGTGGTTCGGGAGCGTCGACGGTCAACCAAAGATTGCTCGAGCCCAGGCGCCCGCGGCGCCCGCGTCGAAATGGGAAGTGGGATCGAGAGGCCTTCTCACCCCGTCTTCTAGGTCAGCTAACTTCGCGCCTCGCGCTGCGCGAAGCGCTGCGAAATGCGGTTATCCTCGCGCCTTCGCGCCGCCCCCTGGAGAAGGACAGCAGTCACATCGGCCCAGGCCGCGACCGCGACAGGGAAGGGCCCAGGGCGGGCCTGGCCAGGGTGTACATGTATCGCGTCGCCTTGCGAATAGAGTGCATGTGTGTACATATGTTTGCATATACATACACAACTACGATGCGTTGTGTGCGAAGACGCGGTGTGCTATATATATATATATATATTCATATGCACATGCGCAGTTGTACGACTTTACGTTGGACAAACAAGCATATTTATATGTACGCTACGTAAATTTATACATATACACATGTGACTATCTCTGCATGCATACACGTATGGGTATATGTATATATTTGCGTGCGTGCTATGAAATATGGGTTGGAAATGTTTAGAAATACATACATATGCGCATATATAAATATTGACGTGCTCGTGCGATACACGTATATATATATATTGGCTATTGAACGCGATACTTATGCGTAAAATCAATAATTCCATCACCCAATATATATATATATATCCTCTACAAAAGGATCAAACTTGAATCGAAGGGCAAGTCAGCGTGGTCAACGGCCGCCCGAAACCTGCCCAGAACGCGGTCGTGCACATCCCCATGTGTGTGGTGTGTGTGGTGTGTGGTGGGTGTGTGGTGTGTGTGGTGTGTGTGGTGTGTATGTGGTGTGTGTGGTGTGTGTGTGTGGTGTGTGTGGTGTGTGTGGTGTGTGTGTGGGGTGTGTGTGGTGTGTGTGGTGTGTGTGTTGTGTGTGTGTGTTGTATGTGTTGTGTGTGTTGTGTGTGTGTTGTGTGGTGTGTGTATTGTGTGTTGTGTGTGTTGTGTGTTGTGTGTTGTGTGTGTTGTGTGTGTTGTGTGTGTTGTGTGTGTTGTGTGTTGTGTGTTGTGTGTGTGTTGTGTGTTGTGTGTGTGCTGTGTGTGTGTTGTGCGTGTTGTGTGTGTTGTGTGTGTTGTGTGTGTTGTGTGTGTGGTGTGTGTGCTGTGTGTTGTGTGTGTTGTGTGTGTGTTGTGTGTGTGGTGTGTGTGGTGTGTGTGTGTGGTGTGTGTGGTGTGTGTGGTGTGTGTGTGTGTGTGTGTGTGTGTGGTGTTGTGTGTGTTTGTGTGTGTTGTGTGTGTTGTGTGTGTGTGTGTGTGTGTGTGTGTGTGTGTGTGTTGTTTGTGTGTTGTGTGTGTGTGTGTGTGTGTGTTGTGTGTGTTGTGTGTGTGTGTGTTGTGTGTGTTGTGGTGTTGTGTTGTGTGTGTGTGTGTGTTGTGTGTGTGTGGTGTGTGTGTGTGTGTGTTGTTGTGTGTTGTCTGTGTTGTGTGTGTGGTGTGTGTGGTGTGTGTTGTGTGTGTTGTGTGTGTTGTGTGTTGTGTGTGTTGTGTGTGTTGTGTGTGTTGTGTGTATTGTGTGTGTGTTGTGTGTGGTGTGTGTGTGTTGTGTGTGTGTTGTGTGTGTTGTGTGTGTGTTGTGTGTGTTGTGTGTGTTGTGTGTGTTGTGTGTGTTGTGTGTGTGTTGTGTGTTGTGTGTGTTGTGTGTGTCGTGTGTGTTGTGTGTTGTGTGTGTTGTGTGTGTTGTGTGTTGTGTGTGTTGTGTGTGTTGTGTGTGCTGTGTGTGTGCTGAGTGTGCTGTGTGTGCTGTGTGTGCTGTGTGTGCTGTGTGTGTGTGCGTGCGTGCGTGCGTGCGTGCGTGCGTGCGTGCGTGCGTGTGTGTGTGTGTGTGTGTGTGTGTGTGGTGGGGCCCGCTTGGTGTGCTCGTGGAGGCCTCTTCGAGCGTCTTGGAAGCCAGTTGGGCTGTCAGGAGGCCATGTGTGGCGTCTTGGACAGATTGTTCGGCATTTCGGAGCCCTCTTGGACTGTTTTGGGGGCCTCTTGGGTCGTTTTGGACCCCCTTCTACTCAACTACGACGCTAGTCAATTTCGCTTTGGTTTCGATTTGGCTGGCTCGCTTGAGGAGGAGGGCCCAGCGAACGGTGGGAAGTGGCGACGGGCCCAGGGAAAGGGCGGTCAAACGCGATGACGACGACGACGACGACGATGACGACGACGAACACAAGGACGACGACGACGAACACGACGACGACGACGACGACGATGACGACGACGTCGAGTCAAGCAGAACAGCGTCAAACACGGGGTTGGCGGATTTTGTGTGTGTCTCCCCGGGCCCCTTAGGAAAGGGACTCCACAGTTGTCCGTACAATCGGCGGTGAGCCCGGGGGGAGTGAGAAGGGGCGTGTTTTCTCAGAGGTTTCGGCAGGCCTCGGGCGTTTCTCCTAAGAGTGTCTGAGCCTTGTCCGAAGACGCCGACAACGTCTCGGAAGGCCGGAGGGCTTCTGAGGAGCCCCGCCGCCTTCTGGAAAGGCCTGCCCCTTATTATTCCCCCCCCTCCCCCCGGGCGCGCCACCGATGCAAGCGATCAGCATGGTGTGGTAATGAGCGCCCCCCCGCCCCTCCTCTCCGAGGACGCCCCTCTTGGCCCTGGCGGTCAACGGCAGCTCCAGGCGCGCGCGCGCTGGCCTGGGGGGGGGGGCGACGAGCAAGGGGGTCGGCGACTCACGTCAAAACGAAACGCAACATGCTAAAACATTAAACTAAGTTACGAGCCCCTCCCCGCTGGCGCCGATCTGTTTAACAACGCGTTTCTGCGCAGCCCAGAACCAGTGCCACACTTTGAGCCCCACGTCGACGTGCCCTACTTCAAGCTGAGATAAGCGCCCGCCGTCAGTGCCGTGTTTTCGCTGTGCTCTGATTTCCCACCCGACAGGTTGGGGCTGTTAGACTTTACGAAAGGAGCTTCCGATACGCCTGCTCACCCTGTCTACCGCGGCTGCCCGGCCCAAAGGTTTCCCTGTGACCCTCGAGTATCCCGCATCGCGTCTGCCCGCCTTACGTACATGCCGCGGCCGCCAGCCCCGAAGGGTCCTGTGAGCCCTGAGTACCCTGTCTCGCGTCTCGCCACTCTGCATACCGCAACCGCCCGGCCCAATGGGTCCAAGTGTTTCCTGGGTAGTCTGCCTCGCGTCCTCGACGAATGACAACATATTTGACGAGCATATAGATCAGGCGTCACTAACGGACAAGCCCCACCAGGTAGGCGTCACGGCGTCACGCTGTCCAGGCGTCACGACGTCACGCCGTCCGCAGGCATCTAAAACACAGATCAAGAGCATGCATCAAGAATACACACCAAGACCAACCATCGATAACATAGTTATATATGTATATACATATATATGTATATTATGTACAAGACTGCATTGGCGCTGCGCGCCATGCACCTTGGTCCTTTGAGTTCCGCACGCAAGCGGAATGCGTGCGTGCGTACATGCGCGCATGCATGTATACACGCGCACGCGCATGCACGTTCCGTATATATGTCTAGGTGTATACAATATATTTACATTGTAGTATGTGTTTATACAGCGTACATCGGTACATATAAATGCATGTGTGTGAAGATATGAACATGCATATGCAACTCGTACGTGGCTTGTCGGTGCACGCCAGAGCAATGACTGGCTCACAATATGGAATGTCACGGGAGCAAAATCAATGAATGTTGGCATGTGGAAACGTCGTGGGGGTGTTTTCGGGGCCCTCGTGGGCCGTTTTGGCGCCTTCATGGGCCGTCCTGGGGCCTTCTTGGGCAGTCTTGGGGAGCTTGGGCCCGCTGGAGCCCCCTTTGGACCCATCTTGGGCACTTCTGGGGACCTCCCATGGCCCTTTTAGGTCTGTGCTGGGAGCCCTTGGGGGGCCTCTTGGGTCCATTATGGGCTGTCTTGGGGCTCTCGTGGGCGATCGTGGGGCCCGGCTCGGCCGTCTTGAAGCTTTCTTGGGGGCCTTTTGGGGCGTCTTGAGGCGATCTCCGGGGCTTTGAAGCCGTCTTGAAAGCTGATGAAATCCGAAATGCGAATTTGCTAAAATTGTAAGTTTAAAACGGAATGGGACGATTTTTGTGTTTTGAAGGCCCCTTGGAAAGCTTTTTGGGATGCCTTTGGGGTCTTTTGGGCCGTCCTGAAACAATTGGAGTCCCTCTTGGAGCGCTCTTGTGCTGTCTGGGGCCTCCCTTGAGCCTTTCTGATGACCCCTCTCATCGCTCTGGGTCTGCTGGCAAGGCGTATGTGGAGACCCGGAAAGCCGGGTGACCTTTTCCAAGGACGTCCAAGGGAGCCCGAGAACCCCAGATCCCGGGGATCCAGGTTTTGGGGGGGGAGGGTTTTTCCCACCCCCAGGCTTGCAACAATATGAGAGAGGAATATATAAAGAATATGCAAGAGAAGCATCAATGACAGACACTACACCAATACGAGGCGCCGACCACAAACACCAATAACAGGCACCAATATTGTATACCGGACCGCGGAGAAAAAAACATACACAAAGTACAGACATCAATCACTGTCATCAGCAACATTCATGAGATGCATAGATACATAACAGACGCCGACACCCGTCACCAAGTGCGTGCATAAATCATATTCCTCTTTAGCGTGCACCAAGAACATGCACCAATAACCAGCACCAGCAAACACCACATGCATACTCTAAACACACACGCCAAGAACGACCATCGATCACATACGTCTAGAACACATCACGCACAGGCCCCCAAAAAGAGACATCAAGAGCAGACGCCAAGAACATTCATCAAGCAACGGTATCTAGAGCTGCAGCTGTCTTGGGGGGCTCAGGTGCAGACTGGAGCAAGCGGGTCTTAGGGGGGTTACTTCCCTGGTGATCGCGCACGGCCCAGGAGCCTGCGATGCGGATTCTGGTCCTGGCCGTCTCCGCGCTGCCTCTGGCGGAGACCGGCGCGGCGGAGGCACCCGCCTGCAGGGGCGCCGACGTAGAGGAGGCTTCGCTCCTTCAGAGCAGGCAGCGCGCCCGTCAGCCTGACGACCCGCTCGGTCGAGACGGTGTCTCCAACGGCGGCTTTTCGACGCTCTCGCCCGACCCAGACACTCTGATTTGGGATCCCACGGAGCCGGCGAATCCGGTGGACGCTGTCTTTCCGGGATTTCTTTCGGGTTGGCTGAAAGTTCCAGTATCGCAAGACCCGTACACCAGCAAGTACGAGAAGCCGCCGCAAGCTTGTCTGCGTGTTATCATGAAGCCAGCGGCGAAGCAACCGGCCAAACACGGCTCCATCTTGCTGCACTGTGGTGGCCCAGGCTCTGATGCATCATGTGCATTTCGTGTGGGTGAATATCTGGAAGTCAACAGTTCTTACATGGTGGGCCCGCCTGTGTCCGAAGACTATCCACCTGCCTGCGGCAAATCCCGCCACCTGCCAGCGCAGCAGCGCAGCATAACTGAGGTTCACGTTGAGACCCGCTCAAGTTCAGACATGGCGCTGAAGTGGAGCGGGTATTGAACGCCTCCTCCTTGTCCGCAGCCTCGTTATCCTCGTCCGTCCTGGTCGCGCCGTCTCTCTTGCCTGTCCTCTCTCCTCCCTCTTGAACTAGTCTTGGAGGCTTTCCCTGGGTCCAATGAGGGCCTCTTGAGAGTCCTTTGGGGGCCTCTGAGGACCGCTTGGGGGAGGCCTTGATGAATATGTCGAGGGGCTTCCAGGGGCCTCTTGGAAGCCGCCTGGGTGCTTGTTGTGGACATCTTGAAGCCTCTCTTGGGGCGTATTGAGGGTTTTTTTTTATGCCTCCTGGGGACCTGTCGGAGGCATGTTGGGGGTCGTGGAGGCAATCTTGGAGGGGAAGGCGCGTAAGCCATACTCGAGTTCCCCCTGCTGGACCGCCTGGAGTCGGCGCGCAGGAACCCGACACCAACACCAAGAAGCCACTAGAAAAGAAAACATTGCAGCCTCTGTTGAATGCCGTCGCCCGTGTCTTCGGGTTCGCGTGTCCAGAGTTGATGAATGCCAGCTCTGAGCGCGTGGGAACATAACGGGCCGTCTCCAGTTCCCCATGTGAGCGTTAGGATTTCCATGGGCCGCGCGAGTCCCGCGGGCCGTGCGAACCCAGCCAGCCCCATGAACCCCACAAGTTCCACAAAGGGCTTCATGGGCCGAACGTGCGCCGCAGCGCGCATAAGCCCAACGCGCCGCGCTGGCCCAGCATGCCGCGCGGGCACCATTGGCTCCCTGACTCGTCAGGGCCACATATGGTTTCTGAGCCCTGGAAGCCCCGCGGGCCATGGGAGCCCCGTGGGCCTCAGGGGCGCCATGAGCTGCATGGGGCGTTTCCCTATCATGGGAGCACCGTGGCTTGCAAAGTCGGAGAGCAATGCGAGCCATCTCAAGCTTTCTTGGCTTCGTTGGGTCGCTCAGCCCCCACAGGGAAAGCGCTCCGAACTTTTCCAGTGGCGTCTTGGTGCTGGTGCCGGCTTTTTGTTCCCTGCAACATCAAAAAGCCGACACCAGCACCAGGGCCCCCACTGGAACGGCGGCCCCATGTGCGAGCTGAACCCCTCGACGATTTCGGAAGGTTGCCACGGGCTGCGGGCTTGGGTCAAGAGGGGGCCACGGTCTTATGCCCAGGCCGCGACGGGCGGCCACCGCCCCCTTTCGCAGAGAGCGGCGGATTCGAACTCGTCGGGCCTTGGTGTCGGGCCAGACGAGGGTCAGGGATGCGACGCGGGCGGACATAGGGTGGGCGAGGGGCGGGGGGAATGAGAGGGGGGCGGGCGGGCGGGGGCAGGCGTGGTGGAGGGCGGCGGCGGGGGAGTGAAGCTTCAGCCATGGGGGATGCCGCGGCCTTCCCTCTTCTCTCCGTCTTTTCCCGAGAGCGGCCGCTAGTTTCGCTTCTCGCTTGCACTTGTTTTTTCCTGCTTTCCCTCCTGCGTGCGGCGCGACGTCTCCCTTCCCCGGTCCTCCTCGCCCACTCTGCGATTCCTCAGGCCAGGGCGGGCTCGCGCTGGTCCAAAACGCAATTCGACATTTCGTGAAACAAATATTTTCTTGGTGCTGGTGTCGGCTTTTTGTTCTCCCGTGGGGGACTTTCTGGGGGGACTCTTGGGCCGTCTCCGGGGCCCTCCTGGGCCGTCTTGGAGCTTTATTCGGCCGTACTGGGGTCTCCTGAGCCGTCTTGGAGCTTTTTGGGGGCCCTCTTGCGCCGTCTTGGAGCCCCTCTTGGGGACCTTTTTTT